CCCGCCGGTTTTTACCGGATGACACCGGTGACGAGAATGAGGCGAGGGCGAGCGATAAACAATATCCCTCCCCCAAAAATCGCCGAAAGAGAAAGGCGCGACCTCCGGACGGTCTCTCCTTATTGAGGATATTTGTGCGCGCACACGCGCGCACGCACGCGCGTGCACTCGGTATGATTTTTTGCTTCATCCCGTCACGTCGATTTATATATGTCTCTCTCTCTCTCTCTCTCTCTCTCTCTCTCTTGTTCCTTCTTCCTCGTCCGCGGCTCCTTCCCGTCCCGCGCCAACACCACCCTCCTCTCGCGCGCTTTTCGAACGCGTGGTACGAACGTCGCACACACGCGCACGCGGATCTCCTAGTCCGCCGCACCGCGCTATAAAGAAGCAACTTTACGCTGCGCCGCCACAGTCTCGCGATCGTCGCCGCGCCGCGCGCAGAAACGAGATCCTCGTTATCCAGGAGCGCGACCGATCGCGACACCGACGTACGTATTATGTATGTACGCACGCATGTCCGTCCGTCCGCTCGCCCATTCGCTCGTCCACGCAACGCAGGGCGACCAGTTGCGCGCATATTATCGTTGTTGCTTGGTGTTGGTCTTTTCTCCGTCTTCTCATTTTCTCAACCGTGCGCGAACGTTTTGCGACGCCGTTCGACGCGATGACTTGGGGTGCGTTCCGTTTCACGGATCAGACGCATGGTGCGTTTTTTTAGCCTTCTTTTAATATTCGGTGAACGATAGATCGGTTGCTTTTTTCATTTCTGCGCTGGAACTCTCTTTCTCGCTTTTCGCCAAATATCAAGGATGATACTTATTTTCTGTATTTAAATTCCGAAACTGTACAACCTGCAATTCGGACACGAAAAATAGATCTTATAGGCTAAATGGTACATGATACGCATCATGCGTGAAACAGAACGCACTTTTAGAAACGCGTTCGGTCCGCGATACACAACGTCGATGTCAGGTAAATTAAAGGGTGCTCTTTCCATTTGGTAGACACAAATGTCATTCTGTCTTTGTTAGATCCTTGTTAATCCCGGATACAATGGAGAAAATATTATTAGGAATAAATATTAAGATATTTCAATTTATCAGAAACCATTTATTTCGGAATAATCAGTTTCTGATAGATAGAAGTCTTCATATTTATTCCTGTTTTTCATATTTCCTTCATTGCGCGCAGCCTCTTATTCATTCAATGACAGAGTGATGTCTGTGTCGCTAATAGCGAATTCGGTTGGACGTACTAGTGCACTCTAGTGTATAAGAAAGCCGTTGTATACTGATTTAAATTTAACAATAATAATGGAGGACTCTTAATAATAATACAGAATAAATATAATAATAAAGCATATAAGAGTCAATATTAAATTAAATTATATGCCCTATTATTATATTTACACTGATTTAATCTGTGTAAAAATAAAATGCAAATACGTATTATAAAATACAGAGTTTACTTAATAACATTAAAAGATGTATTAAGTTTCATAGTTCAACTTGCTCTTATAATTATATATTAAACATATATTTCTACGTCAATTTGTGCACGATGGCTTTAATGTACGTGCACTCTAAGTGCATCTAATCGAATTCGCTGTAAGGCAATTGCATCAACGTTATTTTGACTTTAAGCTCTTTAAAGCCGAGTGGAAGAGAAAGAGAGAATTTTAAGTCTCACTTAAAATCAAAATAACATTGGCGCAATCAGGTCTAACCCCTACAGCGCAAAGTTGCACAAAAGTTGCAGCAACATTACATGTTGCAGCAATATTACAGAGATTTTGCTGCGATATTGCCGCAAATTCTGCGCTGTGTGGGAAGAAAGCATCCAAACCGGTTGATAGAGAATTCCCAACGGGGATGAAAATGAGAGAAAAGGCTAAGAAGTCGTATCTCTTTAAAATTACGTGCGACATGTTTACTGCAACGGTAAGCGAGATGATGGTGCATGTACTGTCTTGATTACTCCCGTATCTCTCGAGTACTCTCTCGTATGCGAGCTTGTATCGATTCGCGAAAAAATCCCATATGTCGCGTTAAATCGAGTTATCATCCGAGCGGCCTTAATTTACTTCGGCCTTCGTTACATACAGGTGTTTTTGTAGAAATTGAAGAGTCGTTTATCACTCAAGAAGCAACACAGTTCAGCGCAACGGCGTCTCATTAAAATTCTTCTCTCTAAATAGATATATATCTTGTATGAAGATATCGCTGGTAGAGTATCTCGCTCGTTTCAATTTAATTTTTTACCTGCACTTTTTTACACAATTCAAAGTTCTTTTTTATGCATTCATCTTTTTTCCGAGGGAAAATATAAATGACAAAAGGTTTACGAAGGTCGTGCGAACGTTATGTACAGTTCGGTACCTCCATTAACGAATGCTCGTGCAAACGATTATGGGATCCGAAGGTCGTCGGAATTAATCGACAACGAGGCGGCAGAATCGAAAAGCTTTTTGGAACGAGGGCACCGTAAGGGAGACTTAGGTCCTTCCGTTCATCCCGCGCTTGATTGCACGCCGCGTCAAAACGATAATGCCTATTCTACACTGAAAGAAAAGATTGGCTGCTGCAGCAAATTAGATGGTAAAATATGGCATGGCATTTTTAATTGGTTGCGACAGCCAATTTTTGGATGCTGCAGCCAATTGTTGGTTGTATTAGCCTATCCGCAATGTCAATATAGGATTTCGATTGGTTAACGCAACCAAAAATTGGTTGCTACAGCCAATTCAAAATGCTATGCCATATTTAACCACCTAATTTGTTGCAGCAACCAATCTTTTCTTTCAGTGTACAATAGGGAGTTTTTGCAATATCCTTTATCCAAATACGGTGACCGCTAAGGTCAGGTTATCTTCTTCTTAATAACTACTTAAAAAAAGGAAAACATTTGCCGTATTTGGATTCATGTTGTTGCAAAAACTCTCTATTAGCGTCGTAAAACGTAAGAAATATTGACTAATCACAGTCGAATATGAAAAAAGTAATCGACTATGATTCGTTAATTCTTTATGGCTTAATTAAAGATTCTATCACAGAGTATGGCCGCGAATAATTTTATCAAAACAAGAGTGAGAAAAAAAGTATACTGTCTCTTTTTATATATTCTATCTCATTCTGATTCACTTACTGAAGTTGGCAAAATCGACGGGTCAATCAAAAATTCGTTATCTTGTAGAGATAGACTCTGTTAAGCGGCATCTACAATGAGATTTTAAGGCGTAAAACTTGAGTCTTAAACCGTAAGAAATTGACCAATTATAGCCGATTATTCTTCTCATATTTGATTGATCAATTTCTTATGGCTTTTAAGACTTAAAGCTTAGATGATGGCTTATTGTAGAAAGCCTATCACATTCTACTATGGTCAATTTCTTACGACTTATAGAGCTTAAAGCTCAAGTTTTTAAAAATAAACCTTAAAATCTCATTGTAGACTCCGCTTTATAGGGTTTCTAAGCTTTATGGTTTGCGACCTTATTATAAAATAGGCCAAATAAACAAAACACTGATTGTCGAGACGTGAAACGAAGTTATTCCGTGTGATTAACTCACGAGTCGATCTTTTGTATGTACAATAATTAAGCTGTCAAACCACTTAACGCGCCTTGCAATCGTCGCGTCCCAAGCCCCTTCCGCTTCTACGCCGCCGATGCTAATCAAATCGGATGCATGCGATACGCAAACTTGCTCAATAACAACGATCGCGAATAAATTACATCATGCCTGGAGCATTGGGCGTTTTACAATCTACCGCGATAAATAGCACGTTCTAAACAACTACAGATTAATTGTAATTATTGGAATTGTGCTACAGTGGAAAAAAGTTTTATTAAATTTTAACAAACCATGTTTAAATAATATCAATTAAATATAAAACTTAACTAAAAATTTAACTAAATATAAAGATATTTATTTCATATGTAAAAGAACCATTAATTTAATTTAACTATCACTTTTTTATTGAGAAAATATTTAATTACTGTAAGTAAATGTTTAGTTGGCTATTTACAAATAAATATTTATTAAAATTTAATATATTTTTCCAAGATTTTTTTAGTGTATAATATTACTAACAATTCAATAGAGAAAGAGAGAAGCGTATATTTTTATTTTAAACGCCCCAAGACAATATCCTTTCAAACACACAAAACGATATATAGACATAAAGACATTAACATATGACAGTAAATGTTTAAAATTTAGTTTTTTTTCTCTTGACAATAAGATGACATTAAAGATTTATCAATTTCATATAGTTTTATTTGTAATGTTAAATGTACTGTGATATAACTTCATGTTTTTGATACATTGTATCTTTCTTTCCAACTTTTTTTGTATGTGGACTGAAGAAGACTTAGTACAGTCGAAACGTTCCCGATTAATGTATATACAAAAAACTAATGTAATTCTTAATGTTTGTTGTAATAAACTAGTTTATTTTGAAGGATCTATTATAAACGTTGCTCGTGTTTTTTGACTTTTTTAAGTACTAATTTTTGCTTAGTAATCTTGAGCTGATATTTTACATATTTCAATTTAAATAATCAAGAAGATTTAAGTACGATATAAAGAAATAAGAAAAATGTATATATATGTATAAATAAGAGTATTCACAAGATTCAGAAGTGTTTTCCTAAAATACTGAGAGAGAGGGAGAGAGGAGGAGGAGATATGTAAATGAATACAGTTTTTAACAAAAGAATAAGGGTCTCTAATTTAAAACAATAAATAGGAAAGAGGATTACTGAAAGTCAGACGCGGTACATAATGCAATTATTAACAAACGTTTATTTAAATCACAATAAATACTAAGTAGAAAGTTTGAAGGGCGAATGAGAGTCAAAAAAAAAAATATATATATATATATATATAAACGAATTTCACGAGGGTTCCAAATTCGGAGTCCTGTACTTTTGTTAATTTAAATCACAATAAAATTGATATAGACTTCATTACAATTAATTTACTTTACTTCGTCTTATATTAACAGCTGTTTATCCTTTTACGATAAATGTAACGTGTTATGTAACAGATTACACGCCGCGCACGTGTTGCATCAGTTGCGTTGACTAGAATTCATCGATCGACTCGCTCAAAGAGAGAGGGAGATAGGAGGAGAGGGAGAGAGAGGATGGAAGAAGGAGAGGTTTCTTTTAAAGTAATATTAGAATATTTTAAATATGGTATGAAATTGGAAAGAAAAAAAAAGAGACGTAAAATCTTTGATGACACATCACTTCTCATTGACGGGATAACAAATGTTACAGCTTAATGATCGACATCTGTTCGCTGAGCGCGTACACCGAAAAAAAGTAAACATTAATGCGATCAGATTACTTATGTATTCAAACGGATTTGTTTCCACTCGCAAAGAGCACTTGTTCCTCAATGTGCGTTACGTAAAAACACGACCGGCGATTACTATCGTGCTCATTAATATCGTGCTTCTGATCACAAGGTGATCATCCGTACTCGGCGGTGTTAAAAATAAATGCTAAAAAACGTCGATAGGCAGAGTCCTATAATGCGGGTTTTAAAGAGCTTTAGGGATATCAACTCTCCAAATTCTTTGAAGTGGAATCTCATTGCGAATTCGATTGGACGCACTCAGTGCGCATTGGTGCATATCAAAGTCATCTGCACAAATTGATGTAAAAATATGTGTTTAATATATATTGTCTAAATTCTTTGAAATGGAATCTCACTTTAAAGAGTGAGAATTGAGCCAAAGGAGCTCAATTTTCAATCTTTAAGACCGGTATTCATCATCGATTCTTATATTTGAGATTTAAGTACAGTCTTAAGATGTCATAAGCCAGTCAGAGGACTGTATTAGTATCTTAAGACATTACTTAAAACGGTCTTAAAGAAAGAACGGAGTATGAATACCACCTTAAAGTGGCTGAGATTTTACTCTCCAGAGTGAAATTCACTTCAAAAGTTTTAGAGAGAACATTCAGCGCTTTATATGATTATTACAATACATCGTAAATGTTCTGTTGCAGATAACAACAGGCGACTGTTTGCTCATCGATCGACCTGGTATCGTCCTGCGAATCTCAAAGAGCACTCGCGGTTATTGCATTCCCGAGTCTCTCGCCATTTCCGAGGGTTACCTCTGTCGTTATTTGTCAGAGTAGCTAAAACGATTCTCGTGTCGTCGAAGGGTTAACAACGGGAGCGAGATTCGCATCGGAAAAGAGAGAGAGAGAGAGAGAGAGAGAAAGAGAAAGAGAGAGACTAGGAGGAGAGTTAGCATTGAGAAGTCGTTCTCGGACGAGGGAAGGCCTGCTTTCAGAGCGAGGGACACGTCGAGCCTAAACGAGTGAAGAATTCGCCCTGCCGTGTGCGGGTACCGGTAGATCATCACAATCGAGTGGACAAACCGCCGACAAACAATAGGGACCTGCCCGGTGGCTTCCGATGGGGTCGTAGTCGCCATACACAGCGTGCGCGTATTCGTGACAGTATATCGCGATGATAGACTAGCTGGTAGCGGCAGGAAGAGATCGTCGTAGGCAGGGGGAGATCGCCATAGCTAATCGTATCACCCAAGGTGGCACAGATTGAGAGCCCCATCAGCATACATCCTCTCCTGGCTAACGAGATACCCAGCGTCCATCCAGTTTGCGCGCGCCGTTAAGCCGCTTTCGCGTCGACGACGTCGTGCGTCAGCTTCCTGATCGGCCTGAACCGCGATTCCACGAATTCTATATCTGCGAACATATAAATTACCGAGAATTCCGTTTGTCATTTAAGTGGGAGGAAGAGAGAAGCAGGAAGTCAGAGGATCAGACTTGGGATTGGCGCTAATCGACGTTGGAGCATTTAATCCTTCATCCCCGTCATCCACGCGCGCGTCCTCGACCTCTTTTATATCTTCGTTCTCCATCGCGTCTCGTCTCTCTCGGCTTAAATCGCACCGCGAGCGTCACCACTTGGACGTGCCATTTTATTCACGAAAAAAAAAAACGGCGACGTGAGAGGGATAGAGGGAGAAGAGAGACAGGCAAATTCGCTCTTAGTGCCCCTCGACGATCCAGCTCCGGCGATTCTCTTCCCCATCGGGACGTCCGCCGCTTCCGGCTAACTGGAAGTGAACGCTCTATGTAAACGATTGCTGAGCGCGGTTCTCATTGAAACACACAGGACGCAGGAAGCTCATCATGGAAGTGGCAAGCGAGCTGTAAGTACGATCTCTCTTATCGCGTAAGATATCGCTAGATTTCTATTTATTCTCAGGCTTTAACAATTATCTATATAATTTCTATATAATTCGGTTGATTAATGAACGGCTAAACCTGAATTTGCATTTGTGTGCTATGCAGACATAAGACATCTTAAAGATATCTTAAAGATATTTTTAAAAAAGTCATCTTGAAAACGTCTAAAAAATCTTGAACTTTTTGCTGTGTGGACAAATATCCTCCTCAAAGATTTGTTCTACTTATTCCGACGCAATTAGTTGGTCATTTGTTTGGAATGAACTTCATTTTATTATGATGAGCTATCATCATCAGCTGCTGATAACCATATGCGACACATGTATTGAATAAATTTTGCCCTCTTGGATCTTCTGACCCAATTCTTCTTGGAATTTGGTGTCTAGACTCATAAGAAAAGTGTCATGCAATTTTTGATATTCGACGACTATTCTAAGAATTAATTTAAAAGACAGTTTCTCACATAAACATGTTGTTTTAACTCGAATGTATTTTTTAATATTTAAAATATAATTTTGCAATTGTTTTGCAAATCCGTTGATTAATATTTTTTTTTTCAGGTTTTCTTAAATATTCTTTATAGCTTTTAATTCTAAGAATCATTATCGTTTTGCATACACTTTTCACATGGCAAAACAAAAATCATTCATATTGATTTACATTTGTTGCACGTTCACTTTTTAAGCTTATCTAAAATAAACTATTTTGTTAATAAATTATACATAATGTACAAGAAACAATCTCAATTTTTTCCATGAACACGTGGGTTGCATGTTCTTTTTCCTCTCTCTAATTTTATTTTTTAATTTCCGCGATATTTTTTGCTCACGCGACAATCATGTGATAAAATATGCGTGACTTACGACGATTTCAATTGCCTTCAAGCTAATTATGAATTGATATATCGTTTACTTCCGTGGATAGGTTACAACTCTTTATTAGCAGTTTAGTGATTAAATCGTAATGAAGAGTTATGATCTAATCATAGTAGAGGCTAATGATATACTAACTATATATTAAATAACTATAATTTAGCTAAAACATGATAAACGTCAAACATTGAAGCGATTAAAATTGTTGTACCGCATATTTTATCATAATACGCGATACGTCTTAACTTCTAATAATCGTTTAGACATTTACTTTTACAGAAATCTAATAATCCAATTTAATACTGAAAGACAGTAATGAATTGTTTATCTGAAGAATTAAAAGTACTGTTTTAAAAATACTTAAAATAAATAATTAATTACTATCTTTCAATATTAAAACGGTGAGAGATTTCTGTAAGCTGTCATAACAAAAAATATCGCAGCGATTAGAAAATAAACTGGAAAATAAATTGGAAGAGAGGCATATAATACGCGTTTATTACACCGTGAATTTTCCGATATGACATAATACATCCACAGTTCGATTTGCATATGTAAAGTCTGAGTCAGAAAATTAAGACGCAATACTTTAGTTAATTTAATCATGACGACTTTATCGCGATTCGCCATTAAAAATCGCAAGTCGCATTTCTACGGCGGGTACTCGCGCCGTGAATGGATGTCACCCTACGTGTGTATATATACATATATATATGCAGTTGATCCATTATACGCCGCGTCATATATCGCATTCAGCGGCAGCGAGATTCATTGGCACAGAATTCCATAATAGCAACAGCGGGTGCTCGGCGGCTGCTCATTAAATCATTGTTAGGCTCGTTCTTTGTGATAAGGAACACAGGGAGAAGACGATGGTATGCGACCGCGCGCACAGCGCGTAAGAAATCATGGTCAATTGTAATGGGAATTGCGGAGATGCAGCTTCTTCGGTGGTGCTAGCTGTGTGTTGACGAGCTTCTTGTCTCGAAGGGACGCGCCTCGCGATTCTTTTAAACGACACCGACTACAATTCGCAGCAAAATTTTATTTATAGTACTTTTATTTATAGTATTACGTGTCATAAAGGACCATAAAAGATTCTGTTATGTGAATTTCTAAGCAGAATATAAGTCAGTGACATCAAAATAACGTCAAAATGGCTCCAAAATAACTACTAAGGATCATTGTTCAATTAGTAAATGGTTCATTTTCATGTTATTTTGACGTGACTGCTGAATCGTTTAAACCATTTAAATTGTACCTTCAAAAAAGTTCAATGACCGAGACTTCTCGATTATAAAAACATACAAGAGCAGAAGATTCTCGCTCTAAACAGTTTTACAAAGAAGCACTCTCTAAAAAAATTTACTAAATCTTAATACATATTTTTTTGAATGATAAACATTACTCACAAATAAATATTTACTCAATAAAAAAATAGTTAAAAATAAAATTAATGACTTTTGTATTAAATAAATATATGTTTACGTTTAGTAAACATTTACTTGGAACTATTCAAACAAATATTTATTAAAATTTAGTTTTTTTCAGTGTACAGAATATTAAATTTGATTAACAAAATTTACGTTGTTGATTTATAATTAAATAAAAAATGCAAACTTGAGACATATCCGGTGGAAATACACCAATGAAATGTACTTATCATCGCGAGTGCGAAGCTGTGCAATAGAGAGGTTGCACACGTTTATCCTTATTGCTGATAAGGAAATGCATGTTTCGCCTTTATCGCACTAAACTATAACTGCAAGTTTATTTCGTATCTCGTGCGATCGCCGCTGTCGCGATAGAATTTGATTTAGCAAGCTAGGCGTGCGTCGTTTTTGCTTATTTTCACATTGCATGAGCAATTTTACGCAAAATTGCCATTGCTTTAGTGAGCTTTGCACTCGTATCGTATTTATTAACTCCAAATAACGAGCCTTGGTATAAAATTCTCAATAATTAGCGAGATTAACGAGAAAGAAGTTCTTTCCCTCTATGATTCCACTGTCGTTTTTCATCGAAGCCTTGTATCTTCCAATCATGCGTAAAGATGTCAGTTACAATGTACACGCATATAAGATGCAAAACCGGTTACCATAACTTGCGTGCTAATTATTCAAATACAGAAGGTTAGGCGGTAAAGGCAGAAGAGTCGAAAGACACGTTTTTATGAAGGTTTTTATCTGTTGACCTGTATAACATCTAGAATCAGACGCTGTTCTAACACGCACTCAAGCTTTTTGCACGACAGTTACGGCGTACTCGAAATAATCTTACCGAGACGTCAAAATTCAAGGCAAATATTTGCAAAGCAACAAATTCTATCTTTGTACATATCTTTCCCTGTCCCTGTGCATCTTTTTCTCTGAATGAAATATTAAGCATCAAGAGAGATTATGAGTAGTATAAAGAATCCTTTTGGACTCACATCCAATGACGTAGGATATGTGTTTTCAAAATAAATAAGAGAGAGAGAGAGAGAGAAAGAAAAGAAGAAAGATCTATCTGTGTCGTAAATCTTGCATCAGTGTGCAATTTCTTACGTAAGCGTATTCAACAAGTTGTTTGCTGAAGATAATTTTGGAACTTTTACTCGAGCCAACGATGTGGCATTGAGTATTTAGCACAATACTACGTGCTATTCTACGACAGCTCAAGTCCAATTAATATTTACTTTATTGATTTATTTATCCGTTCATTACTCCGCTTTATATTCGGAACAAATAAAAACGAGAGCGTGAGAGCGGCGGTGTAATGGATCTATTATTCCCATTTCTAACTATACGCTTAATTCTCTCTTTCACGCTGATCTCTTCTAATAAATTGCGGCTACTTATTATTCCCACTTTTAACCACGCCTAATTCTTTCGCGCCTAATTCATCTTAATCGGTTGCGGTCACTTTAATAGCGTAGTCTTCGCAAATATTCTTGGCTCTGCAAGCCGATCGCGGATTTTAAGTCTTCCTTGAAATACGTATAGTACCATTTGGTGTTCAAGAGCCGTAAAAATTTTTATTTCCGTCGCTCTTTAAATTAAAAAGGTTCCAATTGCACACGTTATTCGAGACGAGCACTGCAAGGTGATATCCTTTAACCTGGTACTCAGTGCAATTTGTGAGCGCCGTCGATTAACTATGTAATATAAAACTGCGCGAAAAAGAACAATGCAAAAATACACATATAGAATCGCCGGAAACGGCACGGGCTTTATCGTTATTGTCCGGTATTAATTTTCATGGACGATATTTTCCCATCTGTCCGCGGGTCCGGATTGTTTTTCAACGATCACGTGAGACCAATCGTGTCACCCGGCATCTGCGAATGACGTTATGCATCCAAGTGTCGCGCTATTGACGGATTAACTGGGACAATTAATACGTCGCCGTCGTTCGTTTACCTCGAAGTTCTCATTCATCGCAGAACTTAATTATACTCCCACTGTGATGAATATCACGTTGCAAAATCTGATGGAAAAATCCCGATCCAGTTCGTTTCAAGTATATTTATAAAATTCTGAATGATAAGATAAAAATACCAGTCAGTCCATCTGATGTATAAGGACGCAAAAGTAGGCCAAGATCTTCCTTCCCTCTTCTCCGTGCAGACATATTCGTATCGGCGCTGGTTCGCGCCGGAACTTCGGTATGAGAGACGGAAATAATGAAAACATCCGCGAAATGATCCATGACGAACACCCACGTCGCGTGCACACTATCGTATTCTCCATCGTTACTCGTTCGCTCAGCCGAAGGTTTCGTTAGTTTAGGAATTTGTCGTGACACCACTCCTTTCCCTCGTGCTGTCAACTGTAAATTATTCACGTTTTTTTAAACGTTATTTTTCTAATTAATCGTGTGTAATTAATCGCATGTTTCTGACACATATCTCAATTTTCATTGTTTTCCTTAATTATTATAACTGCAATTAAAATTGCAGTAAATAAAAATGATAATATTCAATATATTTTTTAGATGGAGATAAATGCAAAAAGTTTTTTAATTGTGAATAAATTTTGCACTAAATATATAATATTGTGTGTAAATATATAATAATAGCAGTAAAAAAGGTCATTTTAGAGCAAACAACA